TGTCCCAGAGCTACCAGTACGAGGTGTGTCTGACGGGAGGCTCCGGGACCAGGGAGTTCAAGTGTCTGAAACCTCTTGTCCCCAACATCATGGGTGAAGGGGTTGGTACGGACACCGAGGAAAACTCGAACTTTAGAAACCATTTGGGGTTCAATTAAGAATCTCACTTGACAAGACGTGATAAATGATCATATTCACTAATGTATTAATTTCCAACCCTTTCATTCACATAGAGCTTACATATTCACTCATTCGTAAGTTTTGTCATATTTATAGTTTGAAGTATTTTACATTCAGAATCTCTAGGTGTTTTTTATTGTTGCTGTCTTTTTTTTTTTTTAAGCCCTTCACATTTTGCATGTGAGATGAGACATTAAATGGTGAAATGGTCTCAGTTTTTTGGTGGTCAGATTTTCGGAAGTCACAAATGTTTTCAGATTCCTGATATTTGAGCTTGTTCGTTGATATCTCGTTATGACTAAGAGAATTATGTTTTACGATTATCATAGCATGTCAGGCTATTGTAAATGATGGCTTTTAGGTTTAAAAATAATTTTCACCTATGCAAAAAATTTTGTGACCTCGAATATCGCTGGATTTCTGTAGTGTTGTTTTGAAAACACTATTGTCTTTCCTCAAATGAACTAATATTTTATCTGGATGTTTTCTGAGTATTCTCTTTTACAAAATTGATATTATTTAGACCGTCTGCCATAATTTAAAAGGACTTAATCCCAGTTAAATAGAAAAAATGTTGGTAGAGTTATGATTTCTTTTTCATAATAAATGGTTTTTAGTATGCAAATAATGATTTTCATTCTTTTAAAATAATACGTAGTCACATGATTCAAACATATTCAATAAGACCAAAAGAGAAAGTGAATTAACACCATGATTCTCCCACTCATGAATAATTATCAATGTCATCATCATTCTAAAATATTTCTATGATGCTTATAAGTTACTAGCTGGATGGAAATAATTTTATAAAACGAATCTGTAAGAAACTGCTTCTTTATAATTAAAACCATCAGATTTTACTGAAATATAATAAAAATAATATGAAACTACAGAACTTGGTTAAGCTTAAGTAAATATTCCCTATAAGGTTAACAAACAGGAGTATGGTGCATATTAAGATATTAGCAATAATCAACTGCCTGCTGAAAGACGAGCAAATAAACATTCTTACACTTCCTCCTCTCCTCACCTTACTTTATACTTTTGTTATATGTAGTTACCTTAACAATGTTTATAACACAATGTGTTTTAAAAGGATAATCTTCATAATTGTTTAGACATTTTATGTTTCAAATATTTAAGTCGTCAAATAACGCTACTTTTTTCAAGCTTATTCAAGTCTGTCCAGAGGTAACAACTTTTGAACCTTTTGTTTTTTTCCCCCATTATATTTGCCTCCATATTTCTAAATAATATGTTTACAAAATGCTTTTTCTCAAATTTAAGTTTTAGATATTATCCATTTACTTCCAAAGGGCACACACACAAACTTGCACATTTCTTCTACCCCATCCTCTCTCATACCTGTATCATTATTCTGTTTAAATAGTGTTTAAATAATTATGACTATGTAAATATCACTTAGACCCAAACCTCATATTGCTCTAAGATTTTGTTTCTATTTCTTTACTCTTAAGTTAATAATTGCCTCATTTTCCACTTTACTTTAAAACCCTTAGAAGAAAACATAGGTGTAAATTTTTCTATGTACATATTTTAAAGTTATCCCCATACTTTCTAAAGTCTAAAGCTCCTCATTGTATTATTAAGCCCATAAAGAAAACCTCTCAGTTCCATTATTTTTTCTTGGAGCTATTGTGGAGCCACCCAGACTCCTGCTCAATTGTACACTATTTTCTCTCTAGACCTACTCCACAGCTGGCAGTTTGGGGTTTGCTATACCCTTCATCCTGGAAATTTCTTTTCTCTCTCTCATGTGTTTGATTTCATTTTCTGCATTTATTATGTCTTCCTCTTTATTGGTTTACCCCCCTAAATTCCTGAAAAATATTTGGTGACAAATTTATTCAGAACTTGAACATCTGAAAATTTTGGATGCTATAAAATCAAATGTTGATTTGTTGATTTTGTTGGATGTGGAATTATAGGTGAGGAATTATTTGCTACTAGTATTTTGAAGGCATGGCTTCATTGTCTTCTAATCTCCAATGTTGAGATATTCAACATTCTGATTACCCATTTTTTCTGAGACCTATTTTTTTCCCTAGATCCCTGGTTCTCAACTGGGGGCAAATTTGCCACCCAGCAACATCTGGTAATGTGTGGAAACGTTTTTGATTGTCACAAGTGGAGGAGATGGTGCTAGTGGCATCTGGTGGGTAGAGGCCAGGGATGCTGCTAAACATTCTACAATGCACTGGACAGCCCCCTGCCCACAAAGAAGTATATGGCCCCAAATGCCAATAGTGTTGTAGCTGAGAAACCTCACTCAAGATGAAATTAGGTCATATATTATCTCCATTGTTGTAGAATTTCTTAATTATGTGTCATAGTGTAAGAATTTTGTCGTTTATTGTGATAAATACCCAATGAGATTTGTCAATCTTGTGTAATGTGTTCTTTAGACTAAGACAGGATTTGGGATTTGTGTGTGTGTGTGTGTGTGTGTGTAATTTAAAAAATGATTTCCTCTATTCAGTGTTCTTTGTTTTCTTATTCTGTAACTCTTGTTAGTTGTATAGTGACCTCCTTGGTTGATATTTAATTTTTCTTAACATTTCTCTATTTACTATTTTTGTCTTTATTTCCCTGGATTCTAATAGATTTTCTCAACCTATTTTTTAACACTTCTGATTGAGTTTTAAGCTTTTGCTAGTATAGTTTTCCTCTCAAAAAGCTCTCTTGTTCTCTGAAGGTTCTTTCTATAGCTTTTTAGTTTTTAATTTTTAAATTGAGATGTAATTTACATACCCTAACAGTCACATTTTAAAGCTGTTCAGTGGTTTTTAGCATATTCAAACAGTTGTACAATCATTACCGCTGTCTAATTCCAGAACATTTTCATCACCCTGAAAAGAAACCTGGTTCCCATTAGTGGTTACTTTCCCTTCTCTCCTCCCTCTAGCCTTCGGCAACCACTAATCAACTTTATGTCTCTATGGATTTGTCTGTTCTGGACATTTTATATAAATGGAATCATACAACATGTAGCCTTTTGGGTCTGTCTTCATTCACTTAGCATGTTTCCAAGGTTCATCCATGTCGTGGCACATATCAATACTTCATTCCTTTTTATGGCCAAATAATATTAATGTGGTATTGATGTACCACATTTTATCAGCTGATGGACGTTTGGGTTTGTTTCCACTTTTTCACTATTATGAATAATGCTGCTGTGAACATTCATGTACAAGTTTTTATGTGGATGTATGTTTTTGATCCTCTTGGGCATATACCCAGAATTAGAATTGCTAGGTCATAAATACAGTTACTCTGTTTAACTTCTTAAGAAATGTCAAACTGTTTTCCAAAGTAACTGTACCATTTAACATTCCCATTGACAGTGTAGGAGGGTTCCAGTTTCTCCTCACCAACACTTGTTATTTTCTTTTTGATTATAGCTATCCTAGATGGTGTGAAGTAGTATCTCATTGTGGTTTGGTTTGCATTTCCCAGATGGCAAATGATGTTGAGCATCTTTTCATTTGCTTATTGACCATCTGAATATCTTCTTTGGAGAAATATCCACTCAAATGCTTTGCACATTTAAAAATAGGATTTTGGTCTTTTTATTGTTGAGTTGGAGTAGTTCTTTATTCTGGATACTAGACCCTTATTAGACATATGATTTACAAATATTTTCTCCTATTCTGTGGTTTGTCTTTTAAATTTATTGATAGTATCCTTTGAAGCACAAAAGATTTTTTTATTTTAATGAAACCCAATTTATTTATTTTTTCCTTTGGTTGCTTATTATGCTTTTGGTGTCATATCTAAAACATCATTGCCTAATCCAAAGTCATGAAGATTTACACCTATGTTTTCTTCTAAGGGTTTTATAGTTTCAGCCCTTACACTTAGGTCTTTATCAATCAATGGCAGCCTTTTATTGTATCACAGAGGCTTGGTCTTTTCTTATACTTCTGAAGATATTAATTTTAATTAATTTTAAGGTTTTTAAAATTTTTCTTCTAGTCCTAGCATTTCATTTTTCTTTAGTATTACTTTTATCCTCTCTTTGTTCTCCACTCTCATGTTAGAGACTTTCCTTTTTATGTATTATGCTGCTTGGCTGTCTGTTTTTTGTTTTTGTTCTTTTTCCATGAGACAATAAAAAGCTGATTAGGCACTGCATGTTTGGATGGGACTAGTTGAGTGGTGGATCTCACCTTAGAATAATTAAATAGGAAAAAACATTTTGCTTGGGGACCAAAAGTTAATATCTGTAAATCTCTTCTCTTGGGCCTATGTTGTTTTCCAGAGAAGAATTCAGTAAGAATGGGAGTAGTGGTGGAAGGTATTATAAAGAAGGCACTCAGCGCTCTGAGAGCTCGTTGGTTGGAAGTGGGGTTTTAATCAGTATGTAGAATTTCTTTAATACTCTTCTCAATAAGGTCTCAGCCCTACTCTCAGTTGTGCTAGTGTCCCTCAGTCCAGCCCTGTCTATATAACATCTACAAATAGTGTACCTCCCATTTCCTGCCACTAAGAGAAAAGGGAGGGCACCTTGCTTCAGTGACTGGGGAAGGAATTCTCAGATACATGTAGTCCTTGTACAGATTTTCAGCCACTGTTGTTTTCAGCCTCTCCTTGGACCCTCAATATGAATCATTACTTTGGTTGGATTTGATTTTCTTATTAATCCTACCCACCTGCACTCCTACTTTCTACTCTCATTTGACAACAGAAAAAAGTAAAATCTGTCCATAACCAATTGTCTGTATACTTTGCATCTTCCAAAAATTTTAGTGACTTTTCTCCCCTGCTGTTTACTCTTCTATTTTTTTGTCTTCATAGGTTCATTTATGTTAAACCTTTGCTCTCTATTGTTTAAATGAAGTTTCAGGGGGGAATTGATATAAACTGGTATGCTCAAACTGGAAATGATGCCATCCTTACTCTCAGTTATTTTATCCCAGCTTCCCCAAACCTGAATTATTTATAGTGCATCATCTTTTGGTTTACTGGATTTCAACAGGTGTAATCCTTTAGAGAAGAGTTTATAGGTGCTGTATTTCTTGAATTATCACATGCTTGAGAAGTGTTATTTAACTGGGTATAAAATTCTTCAGTCAACTTTCTTCAGAGATTTGTTGATACCAAATATTATATTAACCCTTTCATCAGTTTCTCAGTTCATCTATAAATTGACTGAATTTTATCCTTAAGTAGTTTTTTTCAAAATAAGCACTCATGAATGCTAATGCAATGTTTTATAAATTCTTTCCTGTTTGCTGCATTATTATCTTTGTACTTGAACATCTCGGCTAGGTATAACATTATTGAGCCATAATATCTTTCCCTCAGAACCCTGAAGACATTTCCATTATATTCTGGTATTAAATGTTGATGAGCAGAAGTCTGAGGCTATTTTCTTCATCTGTAGATGACTTGCTTTCTACCCTTGAAATTCATTATCTTTATCAGGTTATGTCTTAATTTTGATACTTCTGTATTATCTTCCCTGAAGCTCAGTGTACCCTTTCAATCTGTTCTGTGCAGCTTCAAGTATGTCACTTATTTACTTATATATGGTAAGTATAAATGGTTTTTAACTCTGATAGTTCCCACATCTGAAGTTTGTATGGGTCTATTTCTGCTGTATTATTTCTTATTCTTCTCATTTATGTTGTCTGTTTGTTCGTGTGAATTATATGGTTGACTGCACCTGAAAATTTATTTGTAGGGTATCCTCAAAGCCTTGGTTGCATGTTCCATCTTTCAAAAGTGGTTTTCATTTGTTTTAGCCAGGATAGAAACACTATAAATAGGGGACCATCACAAACCAAGTTATAGCTTAAGGTTTCTTGCAAGTCAACCTATGCAGATTCAAAATACAAACACACGTGAGGCCCACTCGG